GACTTGGTGTTGGTGGAGATTTGGCTCGCTGTGTTCAAGTGTTCTAATTCAACCTCGCTTGTGTTGCAGTGGGTGATTGGAGTTGAAATGCAAATACTGATCTGTGTGCGTGGGTTTTCTGTAGACCTCAACCTTAAGAGTTCTCTAAGCTGACCTTGCAATCCAAAAAGGCCAGTGCATTGTCTTTTGCGTCTTCTCTGGTGAATTTGATGCTGTCGTCTAGATTATTTATGTGTTCGGTGAATCCCTCAACTTCCGTTGTTTTGATTTTGACAAAGGTGTCATCCACATATCTAAACCAATGGCTTGGTGGGGGACCTTTGTATGAAGACATTGCCAAATTTTAAAATTCTTCCCTGTACAAGTTGGCCACAATGGGAGACACAGGGGATCCCATGGCACATCCAAAGACCTGGTGGTAAAACGTGTGCCTGAATTTGAAGTAAGTTGTGTTGAGGCATATTTCTAACAGTTCACAAATGTGTTCCGGCAAAAGTTTAGTTCTTTCAGCTAGCGTTTTGTCATCTAAAAGTTTTCTTCTAACAGCCTCTACAGCCCTGGCTGTGGGCACCGAGGTGAACAGGGCTGTGACGTCGAAAGAAACGATTGTTTCGTCATTCTCTACTTTTAGGTCTCTAATTTTGTTGACAAATTCACCTGTGTTTTCAACATTGTGTTTGCTCAGGCCCACAAGAGGCGACAATATTGAGGTTAAGTGTTTAGCTACATTATAAGTAACCGAGTCTATACTGCTGACTATGGGTCGTAGCGGGATGTTTTCTTTGTGGATTTTTGGTAGACCGTAGATTAGCGGGGTGGCCTCGCCTGGATAAAGTTTGAAATAAAATTGCTGGTCAATTAGTTTATCTTTTTGTAACTTTTGTACAAAAAGATAACTGTTTGACAATTTTGTTCTTGTATGTATTGGTTGGGTCGCCTTTTAGTCTTTTGTAGGTTTTTGTGTCGCTAAGCAAGTTTGAGATCTTGGCATCGTAATCTGCAGTGTTTCGTATAACTGTGCATTTGCCTTTGTCTGCTGGTAAAATTGTGATGCTATCTTCGTTTTGGAGTTCTGCTAAGGCTTTTCGTTCTTCTACCGCTGACGAAGCTTCTGTGAGAGAAGCGAAACGTCCTTTTTTGTTTTTTGTTTTTTACCCACAGGTACAGATGACGACTGACAGAACCCTTTCTACGATGGAACTTTCCTGTACGACTGAGAGCCTCCACAAGCATAAGGCCTCAGTGAGAATTGAACTCACGACCCCTGGTTTACAAGACCAGTGCTCTAACCACTGAGCTATGAGGCCTTGCAGACTCTTGTGCCGTTAACATTTTTGTTAACGTGCAACCAAAATCACAGCCTCAAAAAAGGTCCTCAGCAGATTTGTCCGGGAAAAGCCAAGTCATTTGCTTGACTTGCAGTAGAAAAGAGAGTGATGTTCTCCACATTTGAAGTATACCGACAAGTACACAGACTTGCTTGACACAGATGACAGAAACTCAGTTACACGTAATGAGACCTCAGTGAGAATTGAACTCACACCCGCTGGTTTACAAGACCAGTGCTCTAATCACTGAGATATGAGGCCTGACAGGCTCATCGGCCGTTAGCATCTTTGTTCGCGTGCTACCAAAATCACAGCCTCAAAATAGTCAGGTCCGAAGCAGATTTGTCCGGGAAAAGCCAAATCCATTGCTTGTCTTGCAGTAGAAAGTGATGCTCACGTTTGAAGGAT